CAAATAAAATGACATAAAGAAACTAAATTATTGTTAATAGGTTTATAAAAAATTCACACACATGTAAACATCACTATCAAGTATCAGCTGATTAGAATACTCCTGTGCCCAAGGTGAGTTGCCAATTCTTCCTTCCCTTCCCTATCAAATGGCGAAAATGTAAAGATATTGAGGAGCAGAGATTAGAATTAAGTTAACCATCACCATGTATTTTTACTGCAAACAAAATGGCTCTTAAACGGAACATTAATTCATTTCTGTTAAGGGACAGGGGGCTTATGGATTACAAATTACAGTCTGTCCATGTTTAGAATGTTGACTATTGGGACTTGATAACTTTTTTATAACAAATGACCTCATAAAAGGAGGAATGACAATAAGATTTAAAAAGCACCTGACTAGAACAATTAGCCTATAAGTAAGAAAAGATAAATACAATAGGCTTTTTCTCTAGACAAGAAACTGTAAGGAAAAGAAATGTTATCCTAAAATAGAATTCCATCTGTTTCTCTAAAATCTTACTCAGTCCCAAATTAGTATATTTTTGTCTTAATATGTAAAATCATGGAAAAACAAAATAAAAACCTAAGAAGAAGAAGAAGAAGAAGAAGAAGAAAAGAGGAGGAGGAGTAACAGATGCACAATATATATACCTGAGAATGCAATCAGTGTGAGAAGCAAGGCAAGACACCCTCCATACAGCCAGAAGAGGACGAATATACCCAGCATTACTGCTGCTGAAGTGAACCAAAACTTCCGCATCACAATGAGCACAAGGCCTGCTACGAATTTTATCACAGCAAAGTCTGCCTTCTGCTTAGGGGTCATTTCCTCCTCGCAGTCATGGCTGTGGTGATGGTGGTGGTGTTGGTGGTGCTGGTGGTGGAGGCAGGCTCTTGGACGAGGAGGTGGGTTTGGCGGAAGGCAAGGCTGTCCGCTTTCAACATCACTCGAAGAAGCCATGACGATGATCAGGGTTTCAAGTCAAGGAAACTTAAATATATATAGATATATATTTGTGTGGAAATATATATATTTTTTTCTTTTCTTTTCTGTCTTTGTAAATTTTTCTTCTTCAAAAAGTATTCCTACAGGCCATTGTCTTGTCCTTATCTCTTGACACAATCTACTTTGACCAAATTCCTCCCTAATCTGTATAACGGCTGAATATCTCTGATGACTTTTTCCATCCCAGTGAATTACTAATGACACTTTCTCGTGATGTACATTTCTTTGTTCTTGGCAACTTGAGATGCCATCCCTGAAATAAGTGGACAAATATTATTATGTATAACTTATGAGACATCTATGAGTCTCAACATCACATCAAACAAAAGGATAAAAGATGAACCAATTATCCAAAAATTCAAGTCTACTAATCTTTCAAGTGATGCCATCCATACAAATAGTAATTGACAGAAAACTATAGCCTTATCATATTAATATAACACAAGCCAAGCGGTATATTTATAAAATGAATAATCAGTTAACCCGTAGCCAATGGTGGCATGTACGTACATGCCATGGCTGTTGTGGCCCGAAAACGAAAGGCATCATATCCTGCCCATTCCCACGCCACTGGCTCATCGGACGGAGTTTGTTTTTCTCCGATAGTAGCGGCTTCATTTACATGGTAAAGATTTTAGGCAATGGCACCTATAATGAAGGTAAACCTTCAAAATTATAATATTTTTATAAATTATAGCAAAATAAAAGCTTTTAGGTGCCAAATGTCATTCGCAAACTACCAATCGAGCCGGGAGCAAACAGGAGAAACTGCCAATGCATGCCAACAATCCCGTTATTACATTCACTTGCCAAACATTTTCACCTGTCGGCACTGGGTTAATATTTACAGTATGGACACACAAAGTTAGGGCAATTTGAATATCATATTCTTGTAGAAAACAAAATGTAGCAATAGTCAGTACAAGAAATAATTTGCAGACAAGAATGGTAACACCACCGCCGCCTGCATCCTCATTCCACTCGGCACTCCTGAGTTTCAGGTCTATCTTGCCATGCCTACTGTGGTGAAGACAATGTTTCCTGGGGGATGTTGGGGGCAGAGCTCCCCAGGCACGCCCAAGGGGTGGGTTGATGAATGAATGAAATAAATTTGACGTGGATTGTGGACTTAGTCTCTTGTGAGTGCGTCCATACTGTAAAGAATTACCAAATAATCAAATAAATGAAATACAAACAACTGACATTATTTAAATAAATGTATAAATTACATGCACACTGGACAAACTAATAATTATATGAACTCTTGTTATCCTTTTCTCTATAAAAAATAACAGACTAACTGCTACTCAATTATATTACTTGTCCTAAGTACTTGAATGTCAAGCAACTTAGAAAGGGTAAGCATTTCCAGCAATTATGAGAAACCTAATTTTCAAGACCACAGCACCTTTATCTATATTTTAAATACCATAACCATACCTTATCTTCATCAAAATATACCTAACTCAAGTAGATGATTTACCAGCTGCAC